AAAGCAGACTTGTTTTTGTAATGTTTTTGTTTAAAATAAAGCAATTAGCTTTATTTTATACAATAAGTAAAAATGCCGAACGTAATGTGTCAAAAACTTCAAAACACGATTTCGTACGATGAAGTCGATCGTGTGCCTAAGAATATTAATATAACTTTATTCGATCTATTTCTATATGTTGGTGCTATTGTGGGGCATTTTATTGATTTGGGGATTGATATAAACATTGCCGTGAGATATTGTTTGGGCAATATGATGGTGGAGTTCGGCTGGACCTTGGTTTTTATACTTCTACCGGGTATTGTTAATACAGCCATATCAGTGAGAATGTAAGTATATTTCATAATGTTCTCTTTAGAGGTACGTACGGATTTCTTAAGTTTTAGAATTTAAAAGTATTGTGCATACTAGTCTAGTATATAGACTCGAAGACAATATCCTTTGGAGCCTACATTTATCAGCAATGATGAAGTGCCTATAAGGCGGCATTGAGGAAAGGGTCTCAGGAAAATAATATTTGTCCACCTCCAAATCCTAAGGCTGCTAACAGATTGCATGTTTGCACTTAATGTGTCAAGTCATAATCAGGGATCACAATACGTAGAGTTTTTTTTACCTAAACTTCGAGGAACATAGACAGAAAATGGAGACTACCTTATGACAATATTTTTTAGGTCCAGGACCTGTTCGGGATTCGGGAAATCACTTAAGTACATTAAAAATTGATATAATTGGGGACAGGCAGGCACACTATATTATGTATCTTAACTTTGCGACACATTGGGTCATAATCAACTTCATGCAGCCGAGACCACAACTGCATTAAATTGATAACGACTTATGGCATTAGCTGTATGCAATTGATCTTGGCTGCATGAAGTCAGTTTCGACCACATACAGTTTTTTTTTGGTGTGTGAAGTTGATTACAATTTCATGCATTAATTGCAAACATGCATTCAATCTGTTAGTAGCCTAATACACTTATATATGTTTTTTCATTTTAATTAACAATTGATAATAATAAATTTGATTATATTTTACTGCAAAACAATTTCTTTTTATTATACCAAGTGACGCGACAAACAAGTTGAGGGCCTAATATAATCATAAGTACGCATCATAACCAAATGTAAAAATAGTAATAACCATTTATTTATAATAACGAGCGCATTGAACACAACTAGGAGCTATAATTAGAACATATTTGGCCATTGTAAGAGCCGGGAGATGGGAGCCAATTTAGGGAATAGTTGCTTTTCTATTAGAGTTTGATGACTTGAGGCTTACACCTATGACTTTAATTTATAAATTTTGTGCTTTTATGAATGTTTCATAGCAATTTATCTCACTAATGGTGATGTAAAACGTTTTGATGAAACCTGTACATAAAACAAGCCTTGGAAAATTAAGTCTATGTGGTAAACTGCTATAGTTTTTCATTGTTTTGCCATTACTAATACTCTTAAAGAAGAACCATGCCAGCATTGGGATGATTATAATGATGGTAGGCTATTGTGAGAGAGCAGAAATATTGTAGGATATTTTGGGCTACAGTATTTGAACAATACACACTACATTCCCTCTTTTAAGTTACCCAAAAGGCAACGGAAAGTTTTACTAAGAGATTGAATCAGAAATGAGGATATCAGCTAATGCATCAGCAAATAGATAATTGAAATTATCAAAATAGCCCAAAGCAGATAGAGTTCTCGAGTGGTGTGGTATGTGGTACGCTTAGGCAGACCACTCTCAAGGTTGACTGACGACCTGGCAGGATTTGGGGAAATCTGCAAGATGAGAACAGCGAAAGACTGGTCAGCTTGGCAATTTTTGGTGAGCCTATATCCAGTAGATGACATCTTCAGGCTCAAATGGTGATGATGATGATGCCTGTTAAATATTAAAAAATAACATTACCTTTATGTAAGTTAAATTATACACTTAAAATGCACACGTACTTACGTGCTTTAATATGTACAGTTATCAACAAAAAGTCCTTGAACAATTAACTACCACAAACCGACCATATAATTGTTTTGTAATAAATAAACATGAATACCACATCATGAGTCATCGACACTAAATCTCTCATAGAGGAATTTGTGTTACCTCACTTTCATATTAACATAATTGTATGCATGCAATATTCTTGTATGAAACTATTTATTATTTTAATAATATTGATATGAAAATATATATTGATAGAAATGTACGAAAGAAAACTAGCACTGGGCTGTTTAAGGGTGAAGGAGTTTAATTAACTGTTCCAAAATCGTGTTTGGCTGTGCACAAATTGACCCTTGGTAATAAATTAACTTAATTTGAATAGTATTTTCGGACAATCAACTAAATAGATTAAAAAAACATTTCTACTTTGTACAAAAAATTATTTGTTTTTTATTTTTATGTCTGTAATACAAAGATCGAACACAAAGAAAAATTCCTTCGACTTAGTTTTAATATGTCGTCATTGTTAATTGTATTCAGTTTATCATTATCTTCTACTAATTCTAGACCACAGTACAACCAATTGAGTGCCTTACCGGCTACTTCATGTACAGGGTCAAGAGCACGTCAAGCTTGACACTTAAGATTTAAATCCAACTCTATGCCGCTTACGATAACAACGGTCCAAAGTACAAAGTGTCAAGCTTGACGTGCTCTTGACTGTACATATGTTTATGTACATCATGTTGCATAATCAAATTTGCCATCCAATAAGCCACAGCCAAAAAATTGCTCAGTTTAAATTCTATTTTTCATTTCCATTGAACTGTGGTAATTATTATTTTATTATATTCAAAAACTCATCGGCGTTTTTAAAATATAAAAATGTTAAATTTAAATTATTTATTCAGATTTTATCAAGTGTTTCTTTTTTACAGGTATTCCATTGACAAGAAAGAAAAGACTGAGTCTGACGAGATCACAAAACGAAAGTGGCTGCGCAATCTCATGCTGATTATTCTCATGGCGCCAACTCTGCGCGTGCTTCATGCATTAATGTAAATTATTATAAATTTACCCTAAATTACTTTACTAATTTTACTTAGCGCTAAACTTGTGATAATCATTTTACCCATGCACCATTAACTGCTTCAACTTTTAAATATGTAACGTCTATCTCCCAATGTGGGAAGCAGATTAGAACATACAGACTCTGAGCTAATTCAGAAAAATTGTCTGATTGAAGAAAATCTTCCATAGATTTTTCACAGATGGCGCTACGGTAAAAAATCGTTAAAAACCACTGCTATAAGTGCATAGACAAATTCGTAAAGTCTTTTGGTTCGTTCCGTAGCTCAGTTGGGAGAGCGTCAGGCACGGCATTCTGAAGGCGCTGGTTTGAATCCAGCCAGATCGAAGAAATTGTTCTTAATGTTCGATATTTAGAAAAGTTCGGTTTCCAAATTAGTCATACCGGACCCAGAATCTCTGGATTCCATTGGAGACCGTCGAAAAATTGTGAAGTTCTACACTATAAGACTTTTTCCGACACATTTATTTCCTCGTAACAACCTTTAAAAATTAAATCAACCTTATTTTTCAAATTCATTCATTCTCAGATCAAAATAGTACATATTTGTTAGTAACAATCATATTATCTATGGTAACAATCTTATGAGCTAAGTTAGTAGAAACAAGGAGAACAATTGCAATACATTAAATTGAATGACATTATTATATGTCCACGTGTAACACGGTGAACCTAGGGAGAACAGCCGAGTCCACTCTTTCTGCTATCATCCTCAGTATACCATTGGTGCTCCCAAGCAATCGCAACATCTGTGACGCATGTTTTTTACGCATGATTGCTTGAAACATGCCAGAGGCACTGTAAAAGCGACGAAGCCTCAAATTAGCCTCTGTTATATTTCCAGCTACGCAATAAAGTCTCGCAACGCGAGACGCAGGAAGGACCCGGTCTCCCAACAGATGTACTATAGGCTAATGTTGAAGGAGGACAGTGACGCGGCGCTCCTGCGGATTTTCGAGTGCTTCCTCGAGGCTGCGCCGCAGATGGTCCTGCAGACAGGGTTACTGTTGCAGCGACACCAGCATCTTACCTGTAAGTGCTTTGTTATAGTACTATAGCATGAGACGTAGCTTGGCTTTGACCCTAAGAGTCGTATTCTAGAACTCTACTCAATGCTCAAGTCAGGATTGCACTGGAAACACAAGCACTGGAAATACGACCCTAATGGAAGGGACTTGAGTATGATTTCGAGTGCTTTAAACCATACTCAAATCCTGACTTGAGCATTGAGTAGAGTTCTAGAATACGACCCTAAAAATATTAAAAAACTATTCTGTTAATAATTGTATCTAGTACAGTTTTGCAAAATTGTCTTTAAATGGTATGCACCGCGCGAGGGCAGTGACCCCAACGGCGCTGCGCCCGATCGCTCAAACAATACGTAATTTTTCTCGATCGCTTATTTACCTATTTTTATTATTATGATTACGTATTGTTATAATTTATTAATTATTTACAATGATTAGGGAAGTTGACTGAGACAACTTTCCGGAGTACTAATTTGAAAGCTGACATAATTGACTTCACGAGTTAAAGTGTAAAGGGCAACTGATAGAAACCCGAAGATTGCCGAGAGATGTTGAAAACATTGTTAAAAATATTTGTATACAAAGTGTTACTTCCTCTTGTAACAACATAATGTAATTGTCATCACACAGTGCATCAGACGCTGTCAATCGCGTCGTCGATCTACAGCCTCGGCGGCATGGGCTGGTGCCTGGCTTCGTTCCAGCGCGCCATCCGCTACCCGCAGCCCGATAAGCTGAATATCAAATGGAGGGGGACCTTACTACAGACGCTGTGGCATTTCTGTATTACATGTACGTAACTTATCCATTCCTTCATATTACATTTAGGTTCATACATAAATCTATTAAAAAGGCATCCATTTGGAAGCAACTTGTAATATTTATTTTATAAATTAAAGTAAATTTGTAGCCCCTGCTGTTATGGCTCCTACAGGTAGTGTATTTAGAATAAAATATTAAGTAAAATAATTCAGTATTATTGAATGTCAGGAAGTTTCACCAACATGATATTTAATTATTTTTTGTGAAATTACTCCATTAGTTTGTTATAATTATTAAGCAAAGTTCGAACTTAGAACTAATACATTTAGATCCGGTTGGATTCGAACCAACAACGTCTCCCAGCAAACCGTGCCAGACCCATGCCATGGTACGAACCAACAGACCTCACGAATTTTTCCATGTGTTTGTTTTGGTTTTTAACGACTTTAATCAATTCCGTTTTGTTTTATTTTTCAGTAAGCCGAATAAGCGCTCTCTCAATAGTAGCTTATCTGTTCCCGTACCAATTGATCGGAGCGTGCGCAGTTCATATCCTCACAATGTCTTTCATTGTCCAATTCTTCGACCGGCCACCATTCTGCAACCACCACATCATCGCTTCAATAGCCTTTTCCATCACTCTTGGTGCCGTGTATCTCTTCACATACATCCCTGTTAAAGAGCTGAAGATCACTCGATATCGGTATGCGACATACTATACTATATGTTTCATAGAAAACATAGCATGTGCTGTGATATGGTATTTGTACTGTGATATGTATGAACCGGAAATGAGAAATATGGTATATTATATTGGTTTTCTCATTATAAGTACAGTTCCATTTGTTTTCGGTATACTTTTTATGATTTTGTATTATTTATACTTCCACCCGAAGGCCACGCATGGTGTCGACGACGTTATTGAGCAAAAAATGGATCATATTGAACTTAATAATTGATTTTTTTGTATGTACATTTGATGAAGCTTATTCAGGTCACTTGGGTTATATTTTATTGATTTAATGTAAGAAAATGAAAACTGACACTATGTCATCATTGTACTTATGATTTGTGGAGCTGTTATTTTCATCAGTTACCAATGAGAGATTTTCTTATCATTAACAATGTATGTCATATCAGATATAAGTATCAATATTTAATACTTATCATGTGATCATAGCCACACTCTTTAGTACACAAACTGTTCATGCGTTTTAATATCAAATGATGAACGGTTAAATTTTCAGTGAGGGTTTCTTAAAGTTTGTGCACATTGACGTGTGGCCAATCGATAGACGTAATACTTCGTAATTGTCCTTTTAGAAATATATATTGTGTAGTACTGCAGATATGTCGTCACTCTTTTCACTCCTTGTCCTGTCTGCCTTTTGTTTGGCATACCTTAGTAAGGCATGGTCTGTGATTTTACTGATAAAACAGACGTATCCATAGCAGCGAATCAATGCACAGCGAAAAATTTTAAATGTATGTTATTGGTTAATTATTAATATGAAAAGGGCGGGACGGGTGTGTGGCTGTCGGCTGTACGTGAAAATCTGGTAAATCACAGAACATGTGAGGGGCCTTTCAGCTACGCACTTAGCCTTACTTCTACCTTTTTTGATATGAAAGAAAACCAATAAAAAATAATTGGAAAAAATATTTGGATTCTACTAATTCTAGTTATGACAAGGAGAGTGACGATAGAGAGTAATACATATTAAATATAACGTGTTCGCGTGTTTTTTTAATGCTCTTTTGTTCTACTTAATAATTTAATCTTGTTTACTTAAAATAAGTTGTGATCTATATTTTTATCAAAGTTCAAAGTAGTACAAGCAACTGTAATAATAAATTTAACAGGAACAAGATTAAACTTAATAATATTCCCATTAGTAATTTGGACATTCAAAGTGTTTGCTTTAAAACAAGATTTTGTTGCTTTGCCTAAAATATCAATCTATTTTTCGACGTATTTTACTACTAATAATAAAAAATATAAGTTTCTTTTATATTTAAGTTGATAGAATTAAGTTAATGTATACACATTATTCAAAGTGCTTTAATAAAGACTGCCTTTTGATTTATAGTAAATAAAATTTACAGCTTAAGCATTTACAGCTCTAAAATATATTACTTATTTTAATGTTTAGTAGATCTGCATTTACAGAGTTATCCACAAAGATGACTGCAGTAATTTTATTAGTGCTTTGTGCCTTTTTGAGGAATAATTTATTGTAATTTAAGAAAAATAATATGTAATATCCTTTTTGACTGCTCCAATATCCCTTATGTTAGAAATATTTCTATACTTGTATATTGTATAATTTTTGTATATTGTAAATTGTGTGATATACATATAGATATTGTAACTGAATCTCGAAAAAATTAAAACTTGTCAAAATGAATCTCCTATGAGAAAAAAGTTGTTAAAATGAATCTCTAATGTGAAAAATGTTGTCAAAATGAATCTCCAATAAGAACAAAGTGGTCAAAATGAATCTCCAATGAGAAAAAAGTTCTCACAATGAATCTCCAATGAGAAAAAAGTTCTCACAATGAATCTCCAATTATTATTTCTTTTATGGTTGTCACTAGACTTGTGCCAGCGTCAGTTTTATAAGAATAGAATCTCTAATAAGAATAAAGATGTCAAAATGCGTGTCTAATAAGTTAAACTTGCCAAAATGTGTCATATGTTTTATATTTAACAAAATAAATGTTTTGTATGATTTTAACATGGTTTTTTTTTAGTTAATTGGGAACTATGTGGAACAAAGTATATACTACAAAATAGAAAGAGAAGTTAATTTGTAATTTTTTTTTAACATTATCTTAATCTAAGACACAGCTTACCACATGAAACTAACACACTAATGCATAACTGTCCTCAATATTTAAAATGTCCAGTTATTAACCAAGGTTAGATAGTCCAAAGAGTCCAAATGCAATAAATAGGTGGTTATTAACCACCTATTTTAGCTATTGTCACCAAATAAATGGTGCACGTTCCCTCAAAACCTTTAATCCAAATTTATTCCACTCGCTCTGATTGATCCATAGCTCTATCGCTGACTCCAAACACGACATGACAGCAGCTCCTTTCCACACAGTACTTGCAGGGTCTATATCTTTCGGTGACGACACAATCTCCAACTGCTCAGTCTTGTATGTATACGGAATCTGCAAAGCTAAACGGTTCTGCAGCCACAATGATAAACCATGAGCTTTGACTCCACCCCCAACTATGAGTATGCTGCTGTACATTTTACGTTTCAATTCTTCAGTTTGACATCGATCTATGCTTTGTAATATTGCAGCATCTAGTGCCAAAACTTGTCCGGGTGCTAGTGATACTACATCTCCAGGACCTGCTTCAAGTGTGTCAACAACAATATCTTCATCAGGGTTTGTAGCAGGTTGAGCTTCGTTCACTGCCTCGAACTGTTGATTTTCATTAGCAGTTTGATCTGCTGTCTCTCGTTTTCTTCCAGTTTCCCTTAGAAACTCAGCATCAAAAGGATCCTCAGGGTCACTTGCCTGCGGAGCCTGAATTTTTGTAGCTTTGGGACCAGTTATTTTGAGCAAATCTGTGTAGAACATTGACAATGGCGAAATAATGCATTCATCTCCCACTTGCAATGTGTATTTGTTAATGACATTACCAGGGTGGTCAACAAGGAAAGATTTTTCCTGTGGACCACAAACATCTAAATTTATGTGACAAAAATCCTCATACATGTTACGCATCAGCATTACGTCTCGAGGTATATTTTCATTCCAGTCTTTGTATGGAAATGCACTTTTATGGAACATCCAAGACAATGCTTGACACACATCTCCTGCTCCATAATCCATACGTAACCTTGTAGTTTTATGAGAAATTCCATCCTCAACACATGATATTGCAGTCTTCTGATCTCCAATGTCTACAACACAGGCTGAGCCAATACCAGCTCCGAAAGTAGCTCCCACACTTTCCTGAACAAGAAAGCAGTGCCCAAACCCCAAATCCTTCAAAAGTAGGGACATAAGAGCTTTTAAATGGCTTCTTGAATAAATATCAGGAATAAGCAACACACACCGGTACTTTATTAATTCTATTAATGGTATTCCTAGCTTATATTCAATTATGGAGCTCCAAATGGTATATAAATCGTTTAAAACTGAAGAGATAGACCCTCCGACTTCTGAATGGATGTTGAAATCTCCTCTGCGGTATGGAAAATGTACATTATAGGGCAGTTCTGGGTCAACATCAAGGACTAAGTCACCCACAATAATATCGCATTGGACTTGCGGCCACGGTTCGCCATCGTTCACACATTCGGCTAAAGACCGTCTATTAAAAGCAGCAATCTGCTGCGGAGGAGTCGCGTACCTTCTCGCTCCATTCGACTGCATACATGATTGAAGCGTATGTGATATTTGTAGACGACATTCTTCAAGTTCTTCAATTAATTCTTTAGTTTTCGGTACGCTTGGCGGTACGAATGGGTCTCTATAGATTTTTCCACCTGGTTTACGTTTTCTCGCTATACAGTGGAGTTGTTGAACTGGTAACAGGTCTGAGGCTCTTCCTATACGTACGTAAAGCGATCCAGGATGGATAACAATGATTCTGTTCGACGGAAATTGTTGGTAATGATCTGGACCAGTGTCGTGCGTCGACATGCTCATTTGAGCGGTTAAACCTTTAACTATGAATGAAATAAATGTTTATTTTAGTGTATGAAAGAAAAATTATATTCCTTTTATCTATTAACAATATCGTAATATTTATTATGAACAAACATAACCTCGCGAACAATCGAATCTCGAAATGTCATTTAATTTTTTTTTTTTAAATTATTAAGGCTTTGGCAAAGCCATTAGCCTAAACATGAAGTTTAATTATGTTTCTGTAAATATGGCCGCCACAAAGAGGATAGGCAATTTGAGGCGGCGTGCTTGGATTGACTCAGGATACCTTAAAACGGGCCGATACGGATATTTTAGTTCGAGATTCGTATAATTTCGCGTTTTAATCTTCAATTAAGGCACAATAGCACTATCCTATTCCACTTTAAACTAGATTTCACAAAATAATTGAAAGTCAAAATAAAAACGACACTTTTCCCTCCAAAAGGTCCAGAGCGAATCTCATTTAATTTTTCTTTTTCTTCTTTCCATAAAGGAAAAGGCAAAGGTTTTACACCATACAGCCAAGTCTTGGTACATTATTCTTTTTTGGTGCATGAAGTTTAATTATGTTTCTGTAAATATGGCCGCCACAAAGAGGATAGGCAATTTGAGGCGGCGTGTTTGGATTGACTCGAGATTCCTTAAAACGGGCCGATACGGGTATTTTAGTTCGAGATTCGTAGAATTTCGCGTTTTAATCTTCGATTAAGGCACAATAGCACTATCCTATTCCACTTTAAACTAGATTTCACAAAATAATTTAAAGTCAAAATAAAAACGACACTTTTCCCTCCAAAAGTTCCAGAGCGAATCCATAACCTCGCAAACAATCGTATCTCGAAATGTCATTTAATTTTTATTTTTCTACACAAATCTCTGTGTAACGTTTAGAATTAAAAAATAATGTTGATAACGTTAATAATAAATAAATAACGGGTGTAGGGAAGGTGCTTCAAGTATCCGAACTATTCAGCTGGCTGTCAAACTCCTGTCACTGTCACGGAAAAGTCTCAAAAATGTCACATCTCAGTTTTCGTTTCACAATTTTCTCTATTCTGTAATATAGGTCGTGATGCCGTGCCACAATTATTGTAATAAAAAATAAACAGTTCTTAATGTAATTTCGTTTAAGTGGCATATATAGTACAAGAATATGGTGTCGCGGAGTGTGACAGAGGTTTTTGTGTTGATGCGCAACAATGCTATTCATAGCAGACAGATATTTTCAGAGCAAGTAAGTAGCTTGGTTTATCGATTACGGTTTTTATCTGCACTACCATTATTACCTACTGTAAAGAGATAATGTTTTGTTTGGGAGTCAATTTATTATTTTGTTCATTCAAGGATTACCTTGCCTGTGACCCAATTGCAGGCATGTTGCGGCTGATTATGATGCAATTAAGCTTCATGAGTTTACGTATTTTATGCCTGTACTAATATATAATTTGTTTTAATAATGTTAATTCCAAGTTCTTGAAATTACTATTTTCAAAAAGAGCCTACCCATTTTACAGTGGCCTACAATGGCAAAGGCTACTGTGGCCCAGTGGTCAGATACTCTATGCTCATTTAATTCCTTGTAAAACCAATTTATGAGGCAAATATACAAGTGTTTTAGGTTGTCCCTTCAGAGTTAATTGTGTTACTCTGGTAAATAATGGTGTTTTTTTATTGTACAACAAAAATATTTGTAGGGATAACATTTATGTGGTGTTAGTTTATTAGTGCAAAATAGAACCCCACGGCTAACATAATGTGGTCTTGATTAATGTTTTGGTACTCTTTCAGAAATTAAATTAAATTTAATTACAAATATTCTGTGAAAGCATCACATTAAGCATTTTTTTATTGTGTTAATTGTTTTGTTTAGCAAAAATAGTATTTATTGACAATTGATAACTTCACCAGGGTCACGAATCAGAGCATGTGCGCCTCATGCGCAACAGTGACCACGACTTAGAAGTTGGCTTGGAAACGAAGACCGACAGCAATGCACCACCGCCCTGGATTGATGCCTTGGAAGAAGCTCATTATATTATTACTAGGTAAGTGTACATTTTTTTACGCTTTGCACCACGTGACTAATTGGAGAAGCTTGCATATGCATTTGGATGTTTAAAAGTTTGTTAACATAAAGATGTTATGCAATTAATGCAGAGCAACAAACAACAGCACAACATTTGGAAATTTAATGATGAATTATTTATTAATAGAACTTTGTAAACCTTCTTGAACGTACAGGTTTTCTTTATTATGGGCTCATTTAATATTAGGGATTTTAAACTTTGATCTGCCTTTCCAAAAAAATTACACCAGAATTTAAAGAAAGGACTTAAACATTGTTGTAATTTGTTTAGTTATAGGTTTTTTTAAGTTATCTAGTAGAGATTGCTATCTAACAATAAGTTTGTTGGTTGTACTTTTGTTGTCTTTTGTTTGTTTTTGTTAATTTATTTTGTGTAATATAGAATATTTGTAATGTATAATTTCGTTCTAATGATTTGTAAAATTACATTTTCAGGTTAAGAACAAAGCTGTCCGAGCTTCAGTTCCGCCATGAGCGTCAGATCCGCCGTCCGGCACTGGACGATAGCACAGAGAAGCAACACATCGAAAGGCTGGCAACTGAAATTGGGAGACATTTCACTCAAGCACACTCGCACTTATCTTCTATCAAAGCGCAGGTTCGACATGGTAAGTGATATTACGACAATAGCAAGCTCCTTATTTAATTTTTTTTATAGTAATTATACTTGTGAAATCAATTTTTAAATAACTTCAAGTACAAATGAGAGCAATACTTAATCCCCTTTTGCGTTACCATTTGGCCTTTTGTATTTATTGATGTTTTTGCCTAATTCTAATTTCTAAGTTAAGTTAAGGTGAGCTAATAGTTGTTTTATCTTTTTTTCCCATTCTGTTTTCACATTTCGACATCAATTTATCTCTATTTTTAATTTGATTGAATGTTTTTAAGGAGAACCATTTAACTTTTGACAATATTAGTTTCAATTTAGACTACACATATTTGTTATAAGGAAAACATGAACAAAATTGTCACACAACATTGTATTTGAAACATTAACCCTGGCCGAAATTGTCTTGTACACTTTCATATGCCAAGTGTACAATGTATGCCAAAATTAACAATACAGAATACAGAAGAATAGGTACAGAATATTACTAGTTATTCCCTATACTATGGGTGCAAGATATAAATACACTGACTCCTGTAAAACATGTTATATCCATCTCAAAAAAGGTATTTAAGAAAAACTTCATTTAATAAATTGGTTTATTTTGGAAACCTCTCCCATAGTATAGACATCACGTTTGGCAGCTAAGGTGATATTTATATAACTTTGAATGCAATCAATGAATAGTTTTAGAAACAATTAGTAACTTATTGGGTTTTAAAAAAATACATTAATTTTAGTGAAGCATTATATAACACGATAGAACAACTTCAACTACAACTGTAGTTGTACTACAGCTACACTTGTGAATTCTGTTAATGTAACTACACAACAACAACAACAACTACAGGTTATCATTGTGATCATTTAAAATTTTATTTATTTATTAACCTATACTGTACTGACATTCAATTATATTGACAATTGTATTCATAAATTACTTAAACTATAACATCAGCGCATCCTGAAGACGCATAGGTCTCCCCCAGCTCTATCCATCTGGCTCTGTCCCTTGTCAGCCTAGTCCATTGAGGTCCAGCTATATTTTTAAAGTCGTTGGACCGTCTTTTAAAGGGACGACCTCTTTTTCTCTAGGCGTTTTCTTTTGGTAACAACAGAGTGGTTATCTTTCTGGTCCACTTTTGTATTCTTTCCCTGTACATGTAGCCAGTCCACTTCCACTTTGGTGTTTTGCTTTTTGTGGTGACATCTTCCAATTTAGTAGTCCTTCATATGTCTGTAGCTCTCTTTTTGTCTCTTTGAGAGAATCCCAGCATACTTCTCTCCATTCCTCTTTGACAGGTTGTGAGTTTCTGATGGTGTTTATTAGTCAATACTCACGTTTGCATCCATAGGTCAAAATTGAGAGGATGAAGATGTTAAAGACCTTTCTCTTTGCTGCCACTGGGTAGTGCTTGTTTTTAAATATGTCTTTGAGTGACCAATATTGGTTCCAAGAGTTTGTAACTCTCTTTCTATTTCTTGCTCAGTTTGGTCACTAAATTACACTAATTGGCCCACATAAATGTAGGATCCTACATATTCAAAGTACTCTCCATCTACAGTTAAAGGCTTTTCAGATCTGTTAGTCATTGCTTTGCTTTTTGCATTATTAATGGTTAAGCCTACTTCTTTGCTTTTAGTTGCAATGCCTTGGATCATGTATTATAGGAAAACATGATCGTGGGAAAATATTACTAAGTCGTCAGCAAACCTTAGATTGTTCAGTTTTCCACCGTTTATGTTTATGCGTCTTATCATTCCATTCGAGGTTTCTGAAGATATTCTCGAGAACCGCTGAGAAGAGTTTTGGCGAGAGTGGGTCACCTTGTCGGACTCTTTTCTGTATTTGAAATGATTTTTCCAGAAATTCTAATTTCACCTGTGCTGTGTTGTTAGAGTATACGTTCTTCGTGATCCTTATGTATTTCTTTTCAATACCCTGCGTTTGTAAAGCTATCCAGATGTGATTGTCGTTTATAGAATCGATAGCTTTATTGTAGTCTATGAACCCTATATATATAGTGGGTAGCCATATTCTTGTGGTTTCGCAATAACATGTTTGATGGCATGCATATGGTCTACGGTGGAGAAGCCCGACCTGAAACCTGCTTGTTCTTTGGGTTGCTCTTCATCTAGCCTTTTCGCGATTCGGTTTAGTATGATCTTAGAAAATACTTTGTATACATTTCCCATCCCCATCCCCCATCAGGGATGGGACGGTAGTTATTCATGTCTCCTTTGTCTCCTTTCTGGGGTATAAGTATGATGGTACTGTTTGTCCGTTGTGAGGGGATCAATTCTGATTGGAGTATGGAGTTGTATAACTTAGTTAGACTCTTGACCGTACTTGGGAGGTTGCTCTTCATTTGTTCATTTGTTATACTGTCTGCACGTGGTGCTTTGCCATTTTTCTGGGACAAGATAGCAACAATGACTTCACTCTCTAGAATCGGTGGTATACTTTCTTTGTTTAGGTCTTCTAGTTCAATCTCCAAGTCGTTCGCCGCATCTTTGGCATATAGGGTTTGGAAGAAATCTTTTGCTACGTCTAGTATTCTGTTCCTTTTTGTCTCTTGGAGGTTAGCTTTGTTTTTCATTTTTGGGATCCAATGTTTGGACTCTTGTAACTCTTTCATGGCCTTCTTTATTCTACCTGTCTTCATAACTTGTTGTTTTATGCATTCGATTAGATGTCGTGATTTATCCTTTTTATGGCCTGGCTTATTTCTTTACTTATCTTAGTGATCTGTTTTAAATTTTGTTTGTCTTTCTTGTCCTTGAACAGCTCTTTCCTTTTTGCTATGATTTCTTTGGTATGTTGGCTTAGTGTTTCCTTTTGTTTTTTCTGCGGTGCCGTCCTTTTGTAGATTTTGTTTATTTCGTTGTTGTAGTGGTCTTGCAGGTATTGGTTCTCTATTGGTAGTGAACTTGGCTTTTTGAGTGTTGCTTGGAGGTGTGGGTTATTTTGGCCAAAGTGTTTCCTTGCTTTTCTTGGTTTGTCGGTCTTCGAGGTTGCTCTTATCATTCGGTGGTTAGTATTTAAGTTGAATTAGTTTATAACAGATACGTCTGTAAAATATTTTCTGCCAAAAGAGCCATCTGGTGACATCCAAGTCCATTTCTTTGTTTGTTTTTTCTTGAAATAGCTATTCATGTAAGAGAGGTTGTGTTCTTGTGCTAGGTTTATCATCCTTTTTCCGTTTCCGCTCCTCTTGCCCACGCCAAATTTCCCTATCACTGTTTCTTTGCCTGGGTTTTGTGTTCCGATCTGCCGATTCTGCCGTTAAAGTCGCCCATACCATAAGTAGCCACCACATGTTTGTTTGCTTTTGTAGGGTTTCTGAGAGTTATTCATAAAATTTATCTTTTAGACCGTCGTTCCTAGTTTCTGTTGGTGCCTATATTTGAATGATCGACCAGATTTCTTTGGTGCCTGGTATACTTATGTTGAGGACTGCAATTATTTCGGTTACTCCCTTAAATTCTATAATATATCTATTCAGGTGGCAACCCCATATTGGCCTTTGGTAGCTCCTTTGTAGAACAGGACATAATCTTTGTGTTCTTCCATTGTGTTTCTTAACCTTCTCATCTCGCTCAATCCTAATATGTCCCATCTTATACTTTTCAGTGCCTCTTCTAATTTAATTACCCTTTCCTGTGTTCTAAGTGTCAAAGCATTAAGTGTAGCGACGTAAATTTGTTGTTTCGTTATCATTTAAAATAGTTACTCATTATTTATATTAAACTCTGTAATGCATAAATAAATGTTATTGTTCTATCTAAAAATGTAATCAAAGACGCGAATAATAATTTAAACGATCACAGACTCGTAAAATTTCCAACCGATTTCTCGTGGGAATCGTTTAATATACCTACCGATTTGTTTAGTTTACGCCCCTATTTACATGATGATAAATGTCAAAAGGTACCTCTTATTTTGCGACGACTATAGAAATTTCATTACAGTCGTGATGATATTGACAAAGATTACATGATGTAAAAATTTACATTTCAGGTAACAAAACTGAACAGAAACTTACATCAAACGTGGTCTTAGCCCTTGTTACCACTCTACAAGACCTCAGCGTTACATTCAGAACAGCGCAATCAAATTACTTGAAATCCTTAACTTCCAGAGAGGAACGAAACAACGCTTACTTTGACTTGCCAAACTTTGAAGAATTAAGTTTAGATGACAACGACTTGTTACCTGGATTAACGAGCAATCAAACGGACTTATTATTTTCATTACCAAGCACGTCTGGGACACAAAAAAGCTACATAGAAGACGGACAAACCATAGATGATATGTTTCAAAAGCCTTCGTTAAGTCAGAAACAGATGTTGTTAATACAGGAAGAGAACACAAGTATGGTTGCACAGAGGGAAGAAGAAGTAAATAAAATTGTTCGTTCTATAGTGGACTTGAATGATATATTTAAGGACCTCGCACACATGGTTCATGAGCAAGGTACCGTGTTAGATAGGATAGATTATAACATAGAACAAACTCAATATCAAGTGCAAGAAGGATACAAACAGCTGCAGAAGGCCGATAGGTATCAAAGGAAAAACAGAAAAATGCATTGTATTCTTATTTTGGCAGTGACTTTGATTGTAAGTGTGATATTACTCATTATTGTGAAGAGTTAGTTTTAGTGTTGGAAAATGCCTTATATTCCGTAGTTGATGAAAATTTGGAGACCAATTGGCATAGTCGCTGAACGTCCAAGTTACACAATACCAAATTAGCAAAATACCCGCTATCCGGGATGCTATTTTTATTTCAAAGGGAAAGTAGAGTCTTGCCTTTGTTCAAAACATTCAAAACTGGTTATGAAAACTCAATAAAATGTGATGTCCAGTTTAATAATTACAGTTTTGAAAATGCTCACAATATAACTCTGTGTTATAACATAACTATAATTCTTGCTGTTATTCGTTATTCGTGATGTAGGAACCGATATATGTATGTATAATCAATTTATCTATGGGTTTTGAGTACGCGCATGCGTCATTCTTGCTCATTTTCTCTACAACTGGTTAGATTTTAACCTTCGCCATTTTGCGATGTGAATATGTATAGCATCACCATGTTTTTTGATACCCAGTGACGGGACGAACAAGTCGTCCGACTGGCTGTAAGCGACACGCCTGTCCATGGCAGTTGCAGTGCCACTTAGAGCTATAAGTCACAGAGATCTGAGGGGCACTGCCGCTGCACCCGTTACCCTGAGAGGTAAGTTGACAAGTCTCACAAGCCTGTAATTTCACGAACACTAACGCTTCAAAAACAAAACTCAGTAATGCCCACATTACAGCAGTACTTTCGTGGACGACTTCTTTCAAAAGTAAGTTTGATTTTTAATTTAATAAACACATCCACAATAACGAAGTAGTTGAAAACTACAAAAGACATTTTGCGACTGTGACATTTTGAGTCCAAATCCGAATCGTTTAAAATATGTATTGGTATTGGTGCAACGGGCTAGTAAGACAGACGTTTTGTTACAGTTTCGAATTAATCATTTTGTAAGTGTTGAGTGTTGTCAAACAAAAATCTGTTCTTATCAAAATAATTTAACAATGTAATTTTTCTTATAATATTGCGATTGCTATCATGCTATACTGCATGCTGAAAGTATCATATCAGGCAACGAGATAGAGCATCTTTATTACCCTGTAGAAATGTATTTCAATCTCTCTAAATCAATACACGTCCATAACCCTATTGACGCATTGCCCGAAAGTCTATCGGCCTATTCAACCTCGTTATTTCCGTTATTTTATTATTTCCCATCTCCACGCGTGATCATTGTGGCTTATTCCCAGTTGTCACCACTGGCTTTGTTCCACTGGCGACAAACGGGTTAAAAAAAATCTCAGTTGTTACCAGTGGTGATTTCTACTGGTCCCATAATATGTTACCAGCAGGTCGATCCAGAACCTTGCGATAACTCTCTTGTCGACCGATTTGATTAGATATCGTACGATTTCTTTTCATTTTTATTCACAATAGCCGAATCGAAAGTCAAAGTATCGTATTCGAAACCGAACCCGTACGATTACTCGAACTTCTCGACCGGAAAAGGCTACAAACGTTATTCAGAACACAGTTATCGAATGAAAGTTACCGAACGTCCTATTGTTTACAAAGCAAGAATGTATTATGGAAATCTTTTATTATTTTAAATAAAATCTGGATTTTGTTCAATTTTATTAATTTATTTTAGTGCAAGACTAATGCATTCCTGTATTTTAGGCCTTTAAAGTCTTAAAAATGCATATAAAAGGATTTTAATCTTATAATCTGTTTCACCGACTAACTCCGTAAACGCTGTTGGATAATGATATCGTATCCATAATCCGGTCGAACGTCTAACTCGAATGTTCTCAATGGCTCGGAAAGCGCCCTTCGATTCGAGAACGATATCCAATCGAACGATTCGCTTAAAATATCGAAGAATTCTGAATCGGAGGCCTGGTGGTGACAATAGGTATACATCTGATCTGTTGTTGCCACTGGCGACAAATGGATTTAAAATATCCCAACAGTTGCTAGTGGTAAAAAAAAACAAATTGAATGAAATGTTTGTTATTGCCGCCATCGAAAGGTAATAAAATAAAATTCGAATTTAATTATAAAAGTATAGATCTTATTAAAAAAATCAGTCTTACGCATCAGATATTTCAATACCATACAATAATCAAAAATCACAAAAATAATCACATCAATTACAATTATTCAGAAAGTCTGGACACTATAAATATAAAACAACAGTTAAAATAAAAAAGAAATGCAAAATGTTTAAGTCTACTTATCTAATTTGCATTTTTTTTATTTTATCTGTTTTGTTATATTTATAGTCTCCAGACTTTTTGAATAATTGTCGATGGCGGCAATAAACAAACATTAATTGGTATTTTTTATTCCATTTGCTTTTTTAAAACTCACAACTACTGTGATATCTTAAATTCTAATTGTCGCCAGTGGCAACAACAGATCTTTTTATCCCATTTGTCACCACCTGGTAACATGTGGGTTTTTTTCCATTTGTCAACAGTGGAAAGCACCACTGGCAAGAACTGAGATTTTTATCCCGTTTGTCACCACCTGGTAACATATGGGATTTTTTTTCCGATTTGTCGCCATTGGGAACAAAGTCAATAGTGACAACCGGGAATAAGCCCTCATTATAACAATCCACTATTGGGTTGCTGGAACAGCTCCTTTTCCACGCGGCTTGGTACAGGATCAAAAGCACGTCAAGCTTGACACTAAAGGTTTAAAATTAACTATATGCTGCTTGCAATAAGAACGGACCAAAGTCCAAAGTGTCAAGCTTGATGTGCTCTTGACTGTACATAATGGTATTATATTGTTTTAAGTCGTGAAAAAAGATAAGAGGGCGCATGGGCTGGAGTTAAAAATCGGTCAAGTTTCATTCTTGTTCAGTTGGTAATGCATTTACTTTCTCATATCATGTAATTTAATTAATTTGTTTTCTTTTTGTAAATACATGCTCTAGTCGTTATTTATAATTTAAGGTCAAAGATGCTAAAGTTATGTTTCGAGTTAAGAAATATAATGTATGTACGTTTACATGAATCAAGGAAATTTGACGCCTTGCTTGTTTTGTTGAAGTGTCATATATGTAGCTCCATCAATACAATCGATGATTCTGGCAACAAGTTAAGTTATTAATTTATTATTTAAAATTTGACCAGTGAATTTCGGTGTTAGACTTCGCCGAGAGGGGAATCTACAACAACAGACAACATAAACACACAATTAAAAAAATAAATTTTTACTTTTATTTTTACATAGGACATACCCGAAAGGGAGTGGGCACGAATGACAACTGCATACAGACCACAGAGTACTCTAAATAAGACTGTCCTACTTTGGCCAAAATAATGACAACTGTTAACTACATAGTTTAACACTTTAACAATAGATGGCGCTTGAAAATATTCCTTGAGTTTTGTGTTTGGAAGTTGAGCGACCGTTATTTATTGAGACAACAAAACAAACAGTATCTGTCCTTGTTTTCGCATAATTTCCAGCAATGAAGGTTGTTTTGTTTCATGAACTGAACATTCCTTGAAGGGATATCGGCTAATAAATTAAAACATCTCAGGTGCATCTTATGTCATCGTCGAGTACCAAAATAGGACCAGTTTTGGGTGACGTCGGATATTATAGCAATTTTGACAGGGTTACTAAAATGATAAAAGTTCTTTATTTAGGTGTATTTGTCTTTTTATATTGCATAAAAAGAGCTCTAGGTTTTGATCCGGCAAGTCTATTCGTGGGAGACCTGTATCATTATTCTGTGATGGGACGAACTAGTGCGTCTGGTTGTAAGCGAAACGCCTACCTGCAACAGGTGCAGTACCTGTAGTTCCACCAGCATTCTTCAAAACCGGAACGCAGTAATGGTCACGTTACTGCTTGGGGGCAGAAATAGATATTTTAGTAGCAATAGTTAGTAGTTAGTAGCTCCTTGTGAAAGAGTTCGTCCAGGGAAGTACTGCCACCTTATCTATTTCTGTCGCCAAGCCGTAATGTGAGCATTGCTGTGTTCCGGTTAAGAAGGTGCTGGTAAAATTATGGACACTTGGGACTTGTCAACTTGTCTCAGGATGACGGGCGCAGTGGCGGTACCCCTCTTATCTTTGCGATTTAAACACAATTGCTATACGGCGTGTGGCTTACCACCAGGCCCGCGCTTGGAATCATAAAAACCTATGTAAACATTACTCCAAACTGATTCCATCCTGGTACTCGAAGACGTAACGTCGTGCTCTTTAGTCTATTACACGTTTATTTTATCGTTTGGTGGGTGTGAATGCAATTTATTTAATTCGAAAACAATTATTTATGTAGACTGATTGCTTGGTTTCTAAGAATTTTTAATACATATGCAAAAAACTTAAACCGTTACGAATGTTATACAGAGTTACAGTGTATGCGTGATTTTTTGTAAGATAAAGGCATTAACATTAGACCGTGCCGGGCGCGAGCCGAGCCACGTACGAGGCTCGGATTGGAAATACTGCGTACATTTTATATGAAGTGATTCACATTACAACGTGCCGCGTCCGTGACACGGACGAGAGACGCCCGAGCTCGTCCGAGTCTCGGATGCGGCCCGGCCATCCTCGGCTCGTTGTGATGTGAACATTCTCCAGTGCGTCTTACGCACCCCGTCCGAGAGTGCGACTTTACGTTCTTTTAAAAAAAAATGGATGATTAATTGAGTGTGTAAGAAATTACTCAGTGCTTTATAATGTGATATAACACTTCGTACGTACGTATTCGAGCGTAAACCACGTCCTACAGACTGAGTCAGTTTAATTTAAGATCGTGCGGCACGTACGAGGCTCGGTTGCCTCGGACACGTGTCGCGCCCGGCAAATTCCGCCTCTAAGGGCGGTAAATATGAATATGCAGCACGTCCGAGGTTCGGATGACTCTGAGACAGCTCGGGCCCGGGACGGTCTAATGTGAATCATTCTTAATTCGGTAAGTACAGTCAGCATCAAACTGATTTGAATAGTCAAACTAATTAATCAACTTTGTCAATAAAATTTGAAATGTTTAAATTTAAGGTGGAGTTCAATTATTTGCATTTGCAATCTTAAACGCATTTTGAATTTATTATTTCCCTAGTGCGAGGCTATGATTGTGTTGCGTTATTATTATTATACTATACTTACACAAATTTTTAGAAGTCTGATCATGTAGATAACGTTTACCAATTTGTTATAATATTTTGTGTATTGTATGTGTTACGTTTAAAAACTTGATTGTTATATAATTTTAATGCTGACTGTACTTTGAGCAAAACATTCCCGTAATGTACATAATAATGATGCTGACAATTTTCTAGTATTACTTTTCTGCTACAACGACGCTATTACCCTTCTTTGTGGCTTCGTTGAGGTTGAGTAAATGGAAGAGAAATAGGTATAGTGAAATAGCATTGGAAATAGAAATAAAAATATTTATTTTACCTCTAGTGGAGTGGTGGATTGTATTGTACAGATGTAGATAGTTTTTATTAAAATTGTTATTAATATAATTTATAAAATGATATCAAAAATTATAATGTATTCAAATTATCTTTTGTTTTTCTTTTTAAATAACCATTAACGCAACGAGATTGGCACAGCACATACAGCTCAAGACGTAAACGGCTAAATAAAAAATACATAGCCTTAGAAAAATAGAGATTATGATTTCTTTAGATCATGACTACGATTATTATTGTCCAAATTATTTGAAATGGTGGAAATTTAAAAAAAAAACGTGAAAAAAGCAAAAATGTGGGAAAAATTTAATTTCTTAACAAAAAAAAAAATAGATGCCCATTTAATCTCCATTTCACCTGATGGAAAGTGACGAAGAGGGCGACGATGCAGCATGCACCTAAAAATGGCCCAAGTTATAGCGTTCAGGGCATAAAGATTACTCCGTAGCCGTTCGCCATATGAATGTGAAATATTGAAATATCCACAACATGGGGGTGGAACCCTAATATTATTTTCTATATAGATAATTTACCCACGATTGTCACAAGAGAAACAATATAGCTTTTTAATCTAGACACAACATATCCTGGTTTTTTAGTCTAATAATAGATTACTTTATAAAGGGTACTTAAATCTAAACTTACGTTGTTTTAGCAGTTTGCTAGTCAACCGCGATGTCAACGACCTCGCGTTGACGCCTCGTGATAGGGAAGGGGTCGTAGGTTCACTGACCCTTAACATGGACAGTAGGACTAAAGACGAGCGAATGGTTTTTATATCACTCGACACCCTTTATAACCGATTCCAAAAAAGGAAGTTTTCAATTTGACTTCTTTTTTGTATGTTACGAGTTTACTCCAGCATTCGTGATCCGATTTCGATGTTTCTTTTTTTGTTGGAAAGGGGGTAATTCTATAGAGGTCCCATTGAAATTTGAAGATAATATTCCACTTCTAAAGGCGGCAAATTAGGGGATAAATTCAATAAAACTTGGCAAACATATGTAGGTCATTCCACTAACTTTGAAATCGGTTGCTTGCATAACAAAAAATATTTTTTTTTATTAATTTACTTAATTATTCTAGTTTTATTGCTACCTCTATGGCCGAACGGTTCGATTCTCGGGCCGGGAGAAATAATTGTCTACATTTATTTATCTCGTGAGTTTGGGTGTAATTTGTGGTTGTCTATGTGTGTGTCCAAGGCACCCGCGATACAGGGTTTCTCTAGTGCTGGGCTAAGAGTGTGTGCGCGTTATTATTATTATTTATCCCTTAGTGGTTACGTTAAACCTCAATTTACATTATCGAGGATTGCCCTCCATTCCGTTGGAAGCGAGTTTTTGTAACCACAGCATAATGAATTTTATCTCAATAGTGTAACATACAAACTAGATAGGAGCAAATAAACAGGCCTATAGTATCTAGTTTTAGGACTTCATTACGCTATGTAATGTACTGTATTTAGTAGCCGTAGAGCTTCTTGTGAATGAGTTCGTCTAGGGAAATATTGCCACCTTACCTAGATATCTCTGCCGCCAAGTTGTAATGTGAGTATTAGTTCCTTCCGGTTTTGAAGGGTAAGGGTGGTGGTGATTTTTTTATTTTAAAACCAAGTAAGTGGGCCTGGTGGTAAACGACACGCCTGTTCATAACAGTTGAAGTGCCACTCAGAGTTTTAATTCGCCAAGACCAGAGGGGCACTGCCACTGCGCCCGTCACTCTGAGACATAAGTTGACGAGTCCCATGTGACGATGATCATGTCTTAGAATGACGGGCGCAGTAGGCAGTGTCCCTCTTATCTTTGCGATTTAAAACTCCGAGTGGCACTGCCACTGCTGTGGCGCACAACTTGTTCAACGTGTTCACTTGGTTTGGTGATCAGGGTCATGGTCCGCCACATTTCACACTTTTCCAAGGGTTGTGAACCTTCTTTAACACGCAGGTTTCATCAGGCGACTTCCTTCACCTCTACCTAATTGAAAAGAACGCATTCTCCCTGTTGCACTAGACAACTTTTAAAACCTGTACCTAGCTAATATTTGTTTATCAATGGATAAAGATACTGGTTTGAGATGAAAGTGGAAATGATTACAGAGTATTTGAGATTTTATACATATGTATGTACATAAAAGGAAACCATAATACCTTTGTGCAGTATCAATGACAAAATAGTATGAACGTATCTATGTAATAGGCGACTTATACATATATAAAAACGCTAAAAAAGGTTGAATTGTGATAACAATGTTCATATTAATATCAACCACTGTCACATATACCAGAACGTTTAATTTGAAAAAAGAATACCTTCAATAATTGTCTTTGATTTTCTGGTATACCCATGTGGTCAGTGTTTATTTTATAATATAATATGAACATTGTTACCATAATTAAATATTTTAGAGTTTCTTGATGTATGTCCATGAAAGAAAGAAAAGAAATGGAAAACAATAGTCAGTTTGAAATTGAATAGGGATATGTTTCAGGTACACCTCTAGTAACTGGATTACAGTACAGTTGGTAGCATCGTATATTATCTTTAATTGAGGGTGTACTGCCTGCTGCAACCTGTCTACCCTCTTTCTTCTAGATGGACTGCATGCGCGAAGTCGATATGTACATATAACTGCTGCAGTCAACACAGACTTGAAGCAATTATCGCCGCGCGTCTATTTCAGGGGCTCAATGTATTTGTTGATGTCCTATTGGAAGATGTTAGACTTGGAGTTTATCACTGTATTCAGAAGATTTATGATACCAATCGCTGACTTTACTTTTTATCAAGGAAACGAACATATCGCCATTAAAATCCTCAATTTTAATTTGTCAATAAATTCACGTCTGCCGTCTGTAGTCCCCTTAGACTATTCCTTTATTTTTTTCCATCCTCTAAGGTAGTCACCGACTATACTTTGAGTGCGATCAAAAACGTAAACAAAGGTGCCATTATGAAAAGAAATAATTTAAGAATTATGCAAATTAGGTATTACCATCTGTCGAAAAAAAGTTTCACCACCGTGTTTTTGTTTTACCAAACTTTCAATTGTTAAGTTTTGCTGTTACTACTAAAGAAAATGTTGTTTCAAACATAAAAAAATCATGTTTTTGTAAGAATGCTACTTTTGATTCTGGGACTGACATTGGCTGCTTGCAGAAGTCTAAACTCAATAATAGAAATAATTTAAAATCTGCTATGGAAATTAGGCACAGAACGATGATTCCCACAAGCTTGACTATTAAGGTTCTGGAATACTCAGGATATAGTTTAAGGGTATAATATAACAAAAACAAAATTTTGAATTGCACTAAAGAATTATAATTGTCAGTGATCTCGTTCACAGTGGCCCACGCACCTGGGGGAGGCAACATGCTAAACAATATTGTACTAATTTAAATTAAAGTTCAATTTGACTAAGTGGAGATCTTAATGGATGTTGTTAAAGCCTGAGATTGTTTGTTTTGAAACTGACTTCAAAAATGACATATTTTGCTTTGGTTGTAATTTAGTTACATTAGAAATCCTTTTTGTACCAAGGTCAGTTAGAAGGGAAGAGAATATACAATACAATAACAGTTACTGCACAGGGCAAATGAATGGTATATAATAGTTATTTCATGATTAGGTACTTATTTCTTACATTTCGGTGGGTACATTGTGAATCTGTTGTTGTCACAGGTATTATTTTATGTAAATTAAGATTTCAAAATATGAGGCACATTTGCATATTGTGTTGTGAGTACTGCTATATGAGAAATTAGACTTGATAAAAGAAAACTGCGAAAAATAAGTTACGATTGACCTCCCGTCCTTTGCAAACATGATTCAAACATTCACAACACAAAATACAACGCAAATCAAAACATAATACGACACTACAACTACACACTATGAATCTTTGTGTTTATTATAAAATTCGTCTAAGTACTTTTTATAAGCAGCTTGGTTCGGCCACAGATATGACGCTTGCTGGTTTAGTGGACTTTGCGTGTTAGGCTCCGCAAGGAGGCTCTGGATAGACAACAACACCGTGCGTACGTCATACAGAGCTGTCCACTTGTCCTTCAAAATGTCCAAACATATTAAACCACTTGTATCTACATTTGGATGGTAGCACGGAGTAATGAATTTCACGACGGGTGGCGCATAAGGGTACGAATTAGGGAACTCCAGCGATAATTTGTATTTGTGTCCCGCGTACACAGTGTCTTGAGGTCCGTTGATGGTCCCTATCCATTTGAAAAGATTGTCGCTCTCGGGGAACGCGGATATACCTTTATCAGCACACCGCATTAGCTCCATCAACTCTTTTTGCAATCTGCCAATAAACAAACACTTGTTACCTCCAAAACGTAGGCAAACAGAGGGAATTATCGAACGCATTTTCGGATAACTTACCTTTTGCTGACTGCATGATTGTCCTGCAGTTTTATCGTGTCCTCGTTTTGTTTGGCGGGATTTGACGATGAAGCGTAAGTCGGGTTGATATTCTGAGCCATAATAGGACGAGATAACAAAATTTTACGCCACCAATTTTCTGTTAACAACAAGACGAGTTTCTGCGATTTCAAAAAGCTCCGATTTTATTGGATATCGGTTCACTTTTGACAGCAAACGTAATGGCGTCCATCAACGTAACACACCAACGCCATCTAGTATGCTAAGACGGAGCTGTCTTTAAAGAAATAACAAATAACGTTACAGCGCTTTTCGAAGCACATTATGTAAATTTTTGAAATTTTATTGTAAAGTGGGATTCGCATTGATTATGAACACAAATTTCCATAGAAGACCATTAAAGCGTATAAAATAACTTTATACAGTTCGTAATCCACGGTATAAACATTTAAATAATAATTTCATAACTACAACAGCCTTTCACTCAATTGTTGAGACTGTGTTAAAAAGTAAAATAAAAATTTGACTTTCACTTTCTTTTCGCGAGTTTATGCTCACTTAACCATGAAATTAGAGATCAGCGACACAAATTGAAGGCAAAAAGAAAATCCATAAATCTATTTAAGGCCCTTCTATTTATTGTTACGATTAGTATTGAGTAAAAATTCAGTGAAAAATAGTGAAATTATAAAGCAATAATGGGTTTTAATGTAAGTAGATATTGATTATTAGATATAATTAATAATATTGCAAAAAACTATTCAAAAATAACGGTTGATTTAGAGTTGAAATAATTATGGGTCAGGAATGCAGGATAATGTCTGCCCCAACTCTACCGGATGAGTCGCAAGGATTTTGCGTTCTTTTCCATTCACTCAATGTCATACGACGTAAACATATAGGCGTGTTTACTGTTTCCCATAATTTTAATATATTAGCGAATTGTGTTTGCTTAATTGCATCAAGACGACGTAAGGATTATAAAAATGCCTCATCAAGTATATTTCGAAGGCCGTTACATACCCGAAGTCTACTGCGAAAACGTATCAAGTTTGAAGGAGAAAATTTCGCAACAACATGGTGTTTCTGCTGAGGACCTTTACGTGACTATCAACGGGAGGGTTGTATCTACCGATTTACAATTGGAAAACCATGAAAATATTATTCGAGTGTTTACAAAACTCGTTGGAGGTAAAGGAGGGTTTGGGTCTATGTTGCGAGCTATTGGTGCACAAATTGAGAAAACCACCAACCGTGAAGCATGTAGAGATCTTTCTGGTCGTCGATTGCGTGATATCAACGAAGAAAAGAGGCTTAGGAAGTGGTTAGAAGGGCAAGAAGATAGAGAAAGGGAAGCAGCAGAAAGAAAACAAAAGAAGCTTGAACGGATACTTGCTGAGCCTAAAATTGACGTCAAACTCAATCCTGCTTACGTCAAAGAGAGTGAGGAGATACCAGAACGTGTAAGCGCAGCTGTAGATGCTGGATGGCAAGCGGCTGGAACATCAAATGAAAGTTTGAAACGTAAAGCAGAAGTTGAAAAACCCAAAGCTAAAAAGAAGAAGTTATGGATTGACGCAGACTTGTCTGACTGCTCTTCACTTAGTGATGATGAGGATGATGAACCCGAGAAGCCAAGAAGGGGGCATGCCACCTCAACGGATAGTGGCAATGAGTCTGACCATGCTTCTGAAGCTAGCAGTAAAGTGTAGATTAGATATATCTCTTTTGCGTTTATGTTCTTATAAAAAAATATTCTCTACAATCTTTGTTCTTCTTATTGCATAGATGGCATACAGGGAATGAATAGTAAGTCGTGCAGGGAGGCTTCTTTTGTGCACCCTTGCAATCTTCGTAAAGGTCATTGTTGCAAATATTAAAAATAAAGTTTATGTTTACAAACGTTTGTGTTTACATGATTTCAAAATGACTGTAATTTTTTAATCTTAAACAATTAATAATTTTAACTCGGACATGGAATGGATATTTTAAATATTTTGGAAATGATTAACAATTTCAAACAGTGCACCTTTATAAAACTGTAATATTATTTAAGTTATTTGCGATGTCAAAACAATTAAAGAAAAAAAATAAAACTTTAAAAAACATGCCTTGTTATAATTTTTCATTGAGAATGACCCTTAACTAAAGAGTGAGTAAAAAGGATGGAGTGACGATGAGGTGAAAGACGTGTTAGAATTGTAGTAAGTGTCTGGCTATGGTCTGCCTATCCAAATGGGAAAAGGGCGGGAAGCCCTTTCTTGTCAGTTTGAGTCTCAAGTTGACGGCAGTGGCAGTAAGATCTTTGCGATTTAAAGCTCTTGAGTGGCACTGCAACTATTCTGGATAGGCGTGTCGCTTACCACCAGGCGCACGACTTATTCGTCCCATCATTTGGTATTATAAAAAAACATGTAATTTCGCCATTATTTATTTATTCTATTTTTTTATCGAGTTCTTAGGTTTTCGCGATTGTTACACATAGGAAATGAAACTATTTTTCCAGAATTAAATAGCGTATATTTGTTTTTTCAAACAAACCGACGTTTCGGGCCCTCAACTCAACAGTCGAGACAACCGTGACCATGGGACCTGTAAAGGGACCGATTTAAATCCGAAAAAATGTTTCATTACTTAAATTCCATTTTTGTTTCATTATTGGTTTTATAGATTAGTCCTGTAAGATTTATTGGGTATATTAACATTTCTATTTCGTTTGATGCTATTCAGAACTAATATTGTAATAAGTGATACATTTTATAAAAATATTATACCTGGTGGCTTTGTCTAACTTATGTTGCTCTTTGGCTAAGTGAAATAAATTGACTATTCGCGTACGTCATTTCTCAACAAAACGCCTGCAAAAAATGTACAACAAATTTGTACAATTGTAAATAATTATAAAATGTTGCTATCATTTTTCAGACAGGTGTTTGGCGGGCACTCGTGCTGCTGTTACTAATTGGGCTGGTCTCTGCCCGGCCACAGGATTTTGAAGACGATGATGACAGCAGGCAGAGCAATGATAGGAAAGGTATTTTGACTTTGTGACGTCAACAACCTCATACATTTTTTGTTTTCTCTACACTATTAAAACATATTATTATATAGAAATGTAACAAGCCTTTTTTTGAGTTGCACTTTTGATAAATCCAATTATCCAAAAAAAAATTCAGATGACGTATCGAGGGTCCAGATCAAGGTGTACCGCGGCCCTACTAAGAACGACGGCTACGCTCCCTGGGGCTTCTGGGTCAAGCAGCCTTCTGACGATGACTAGAACCTCCGTTTAGTTACTGTAATCTCTGCGTAACGAACAGCATAGCAGATGTTAGTGTATAACATCTTAGTATAAGAAGTTAATTTTAAGTAGTAAACTTTAGTAACTACGTAATATCATGTACGTATTATTAAGATAAGATTTTTTCGTTCTCTAACCTACTATTCCAAACCGTTACGAAGGCACGCTCGTTTAGCAGATTGTATTATTTTATTAATCTGCTTTATTGATAGAGTTGTATGTTATCACTGTTATCAGTATGATTTGAATATCGTTTTGATTCGTTATGACCACAAAAGTGTTTGGGCAATTTTTTCGTAATTGTATTCTTAGACTATTGCAAATTTTTTATAAGGCGTTATTTCATGTTATAAGCCAAAGAATTATTTTTATTTAAGATTTTTCGTAACGAAAACGTTATATTGTTGATTTGTTTTTATTTAAAATAAACTCTACTTGTGACTTGTCGTGTCTTTTTCCCAGTATGGTTCGTGTTGTATATTCTATAAATGACTTTTTATATAATGTTCCAAAGTAAATAAACGAATAGATATACTTGGGGGTTTGCCAGTTGTTCCGACTTGCTTTGCGGATAAGTTTGTGTACCTACACTTGCTAGCCCCAAATATTAAACCTTATAATATGTAATGCTCTTTTTGGATTAAACAGATGGCTGCCTAATTTTTTTAAACCGACTTAAAAAAAGGAGGAGGTTTTCAATTCGTCTGTTTTTTTTTGTATGCCTGTCACGCGATAACGGCATTTTGAACCGATTTTTTTGGAAAGAGGGTACCTTAGACGTGGTCCCATTAAAATTTTAAAAATATCCACACTTGACAAACTAGTGGATGAATGATTTTTGAGGTCGGTTTTTTATGATATCAAGTGACGGGACGAGAAAGCCGTGTACCTGGTGATAAGCGACACCCTCACCTATACTTGGCGGCAGAAATAGGTATTTATTTATTTTCCAACCAGGAAAAATGCGGGTTTAGATCATTTTATGTTAAAGATTAACAAAAATAGAATATCTGCGTCTATTGCAGTCCTTAACACATCTATTACAGACCATCAGATGGTACTACTTAGTTTATCTAACTTCTCGTCTCCGGCAAGCTGCTCATTAACTGAAATTGTAATCAACTACGAAAATGCCTTAAGCAGGCTAAAATTGTCAAACATAGCAGAGTTATTTTTACTAACGGACCCAAACGAAATAACGTATCTTTTGATTAGTAAAATTACAACCGCACTTACCGAATATACTAAAATTTTAGGGATAACTAGAAGTAAGCGTATAATTAAGCCATACTTACAACCAGTGTTGGGCGTTAATCAATTAAATTTCAATCAGACTAAAAAATCAATTCAATTGAAATCAATTGCAATTAAAATCAATTGCAACGTCGCAATTAATTATAATAAATTGTTCTAAGAAACAATAGAAACTAACAATTAAAACCGAAGCTCTCCCACCCCCTAACCCACCCCCGAACCCACCCCCTAATCCTCCCCCTAAACCCACCCCCTGCCCCACCCACCCACTCACTCCCCCACTCACTCACCCACTCACTCACCCATATGCCCTATAAATTTATCATAATTGTCAGTTTTAATTGTTAATCAAAAACATTGAAAAGATTGCAAATTGATTAATTGTTATTTGTAGATATACGCGATTAACGATTGATTAATTGTTAGTTGCGAGAACCGCAATTAACAATTAATCATTTGTTAATTGTTGTTACGCAATTGACAATTAATTAATTGTCAATCTTTAATTGCCTGAATAATTAAATTTTGCCCAACACTGCTTACAACTATGCAAAAACAATTAAAATTTCGACCCTAATAATAAAATTCTGAGCATAACATATCGGAGATATGGGAACTACTGTAATGGTCTAATTAAAAAACTCAAACGCAAATACGAACGTGAAAAGTTAACTAAATCGTGTAAAAACTTTAACTTAAACTTTATGGACTACTATTAACGAGATTATACAATTTAAGCAAATTAAAACTACTGACACCAGCCTACTTTATATTGCTGAAAGACCAACTATCTCTGTTAATAATGTAAACGACTGTTTTGCCAGTATTGATTCTGACTTGGCCGAAAAAATTATAGCTAACAACTCTGTTAAGCGCCTCTCTCTTCTACCAAGTACAACAATCTCACAAGTCTCCTCCTTCTTCCTTTCTAGATACTGGGATCCCGATGAAGTTGACCACAGTCTTATGAATATCGAGTCTAATAGTGCTCCTGGACCCACCCAGCACTATTAGAGTACCTTAGACTTCTCTAAAAAGTTACTTGCGATATATCCAATACCTGTGCCAGTTATCTGTCATTTAGCGAATCTTTGTTTTGCGCAAGGTGTATTTTCCAGAGCTCTAAAAAATCTATTGTTACACCTGTGTACAAGTATGGAGGAAGGGGCGATGTCAATAACTACAGACCATCTTAGCTAAGACACAACTTGGTGTCCGAAAACACTTGTCTATAGAAGATGCTGTAACTTCCCTGGCGTCACAGATTATTGACAACCTAGACAATGGGCAAAAATGTTTAGCAATCTTTTTGGACTAAAAAAGGCATTCGACACTGTCTCTGACCTCATTCTTGTAAAGAAGCTTGAAAATATTGAAATTAGAGGCAACTCTCTTGCTCGCCTGCAAGAATACCTAAAAGATCGTAAACAAAGAACAAAGATAGGCGGTTATATGAGTAATGATTTTAATGTTACGTTTGGTGTACTTCAAGGGAGTGTCCTCGGTCCAACACTATTCCTTACCTATATAAACTACCTATGTAATTTAGATACTAGGAAGGTTTTATTAAGGGTGGTCTCTTGCGATGATGATACTGCCTTAGTATTTTCGGGTAACACTTGAGAAGAGGTTCATAAACATGGTGAAGCAGAACTGGCCAAAGTTTCTCAGTGGACCTTCTTACACATAAACCTTCTTAACATCTAGGTACTAGAGTTTCGTTGAATATTGTATTAATATGAAAAAAATCGTGAATCAATGTTTTTTGAATCTAAATCACTTTATGTTTTTCCAAACAAACCGAAGTTTCCGGCCCACGGTCACGGCTGACAATAGTCCGTGACCCGTGACCGTGGGACCTGTAAAAGACTATAATAGTCAGCTGTGACCATGGGACCGAAACGTAGGTATGGTTTAGGTTCGAAAAAAAAATTTACCAAAGTGTAGCAACCATCAAAACATAGGCTTATAAAAAAAATTCGGTGCGTTACAGTTGTGTTAAGAGTCTATACAACCTTCAATGGCTTTGAGTGATTCAGCATAACAGTGAAAGTGTTGGAGCAATTTGGAAAAAATATATAGTATAAAGAATCAGTACAGAGTACTAAAAAAACTGACTTGAAAAATTATTCATCCCTTGGTTACCCTTGGAGGTGGATTATTTTCTCCAAATTTAAATAGGACCACTCCTGAGGTACCCTCTTCGCAACAAAAAAGAATCATCAAAAAAAGGTTGGAGTCATCGCGTAACATACATACAAATAACCTGACCCCCGGTTAAAAAAATCGCTCTCAAAAGTCATTCATCCTAGAGGATGAACCACCCTTAGAGGTGAAATATTTTCTACAAATTTAAATGGGACCACATCTGAGGTACCCTCTTTCTAACAAAAAAAGAATCATCAAAATCGGTTCACAAATGGCGGAGTTATCGCGTAACACACATACAAAAAAAATACAGACGAATTGAGAACCTCCTCCTTTTTTTGATTCTAAAAATTTTCGCGATAG